ATAGCTGGGCAGAACAGAACAGAATTAGTGAGGATGCTCTACATGTAGTTATCTTTATGTTCCTCATAAAACCCTTTTTCAGAAGGTATATCCTTTTTCACACAGTATATTGTAAGAGGTAGTCTTAGATAGTGGACAGCTGTACTCACTGGACTTGAAATCAGAGAGTCCTGGGTTCAAATCCTGTCTCTGACACTAACTGAGACTATGGTCATCCCTTTTCTTTGAGCCTCATGCAACTCTCTAAGATCCGCTAAATTACAGATTTCAATCTGCACTGAAATCACAGATTTGACAAATTTAGAAATGAAGCTATAGGGGAAATAGAAAGGGGAATTTTCTATCTAGGTCTCAAAAATTATTGGCTAGAAAGCGTCACCAAAATTTTGTTGTTCAGTCATGTCCGACTCTTCACGACCCCATTTGGGGTTTTCTTGGCAAAGATTCTAGAGAGTTTGCCATTTCGTTCTATATCATTTTACAGATAAGGAAACTGAAACAAATAGGGTTAAGTGACTTGTCCAGGGTCACATAGCTAGTAAGTGTCTGAGGCCAAATTTGAACACAGGTCTTCCTCGCTTGAGGCCTGACGCTTTAGCCACTGTACCACCTAGTGCACAATAGAGAAAAGGTAATATGGACAGAAAAGTAGCTCTGACAACTCCCCTCTCAAGATCAATTGCCAGAAAAGATCTCTTAACATGACACAACATTGAAATGTTTTACTTATTTTGCGTAACGCATGGGCATGGGCTTCACACCTGCCTCTCTCATTGTCTGTCTGATCTGGCTCATTCACCTTCCTTGCACTCCTCCCAACAAGTTGGGGATCTTAGAGGCAATGGCCACGTGGCTACTACTTAGGTCCTAAGTGTGATGCTAATAGGTAAAGTACACTTTACCTATTTACACTTCATAACTGTAGCTCCTGACACCAAACTGTTCTGCTTCCCATTTAACAAATTGAACAATAACTACTAATCAGAAACATTTACTCAAAGTAGGCAAAGCAAGTATAATTAAATCATGACACTCCACCCATGAACCTGTGATACACTCCCTTGTCAGTATGTGCAGAGTCCATGGGGGAGAATGGGCACAAACCTGCAAAACCATAACATATAGATAGATATGTGAGTGGGAAACACATGCACCCATAAAAACTCACAACTCCTTTTTTAAAATAGTATTTTATTTTTTCTAATTACATATAAAGACAAATTTTAACATTCAATTAAAATTTTTGAGTTCCAAATTTCCTCCCTTCTTCCTTCACCTCCCCCCTCCTAAGATGATAAGCAATTTAATGTAAGTTACACATGTACAATCATGTAAAACATATTAGTCATGTTGTGAAAGAAGAAATAGATCAAAAGAAAAAAAACATGAAAAAAAAATAAAGTTAAACTAGTATGCTTCAATCCTCATTCAGATTCCATCAATACTTTCTCTGGATGTGAATAGCATTTTTCCTCATGAGTCCTTTGGAATTGTCTTGTATCATTGTATTGCTAGGGATAGTTGATCATCATACAATGTTGCTGTTACTATGTACAATGTTCTCCTAGTTCTGCTCACTTCATTTTGCATCATTTCATGTAAGTCTTCCCAGGTTTTTCTAAAATTTGCTTGCTTGTCATTTCTTACAGCACAATAGTATTCCATTACATTCACATATGACATCTTGTTCAACCATTCCCCAATGATGAGCATCCCCTCAATTTCCAATTCTTTGCCACCATAAAGAGCTGCTATAAATATTTTTGTGCACATAAGTTCTTTTCCATTTTTTTCCATCTCTTTGGGATACAGACCCAATAGTGGTATTGCTGGATCAAAGAGCATGCACAGCTTTATAGCCCTTTTCTGTCATATCAGCCAATCTGAAAGGCACAAGATGGCACTTCAGACAACTCACAACCCTTGACTGTGGGCCTATATGTCCATTGTCACCTTCAGGAATAGTCTGTATAACAGTTCACTGATGGGCAGGGCTGATCCTCTTCTGGGTCCTTCTGTTTCCTGCTAGGAAGGGTGGCTTCTCTGCTGGCTGCTATTTCCCACTTATCTTCTGGGCTTCTAAAACACTCTTAAGCTCTTTGAGTAAAATAGAACCCTTAGCCTGCAGAGCTTTACTAGGTCATTTCCTTTGTCTGGGGTACGAGGAGCTTCCACTTCTCAGACCACACCTGGGATGGGGAGAACCTTTCTCTTCCAATCAACTCTTCAAAGCTTTTTTTCCAATCCTGTTCTTTCCAATAGCAGAGGGCAGTAGAGACTCAGGGGTCTTGCTGTGACCCAGCTTTGAGGCTGCTTCTTAGACTTACCTCTAAGGACTCTTCTTAGATCTGCTTGGAGGTCTGGACCAACCCTACTGCTCTAAAGGAGGATCTCTTGTGTGAAATTACTCAATTCTATCTTATGGTGAGAAAACAAAATCCACATAACTATCAGTCAAATTACAACTAGATGACATACAATGTTCCCATAGTCCCCATTTAGTTCTAGGTGTTTGGGTTTCCTAGTAATAACCTTAAATCTGCATCCCTATCATATGTAAATTAAACAGTAGGAAACAAGACACTTTGTGTCTTTTCTCCATGAGATTCGACCTAAATATTTCTTTCACAACTATCCCTTTCTGCCCCTTCATTAAAATTAATAAAATTGTCCAAATCAGAAAGGAGCAACACTTTATGCTTATCTTTTCTCTTTTAATCTATCCCCCACCCCACAACTCCCATCATATTTCATGAGCTGAAAAAATAAACACAATAGTCCAAGGAGTTTGCAGTGGTCCATTGGGATTTTAGGATGAGTTTAAAATGACAGTATGGTGTAGTGAAAAGAGCGTTAGATTTAGATTCAGTGGGCCCAGGTCTAAATCCCAGTTCTAGCACTGACTACCTGTATAACCTCAAGAGAATCCCTCAGTCCCTTTTAGCTTCAGCTCCCTCATCTCTAAAATGAGGGAATCAGACTAAATGACGTCTATGGTGTCTTCCAACTCTAAATCTATGATCTTATGACCTTCACATGGGCAGCTGAGTGGTGAAATCCTGACTCTGGGTTAGGCGAGTTGATGAGGAATCGACTAATAAGTATCCTGGTGTAGAATCAGGCCCACAGACTGGTGGAATTGGGAGAGTGGGGGAAAAGATTCCTAGAGATTACTATTGTTCTAAAGCTGTTAAAATTAGAAGCCAACCCGATGAGTATCTCCATGCCCTGGAGGTAGAGCAAGGAGGTGTCAACAGGGACCAGGGCTCAAGGTGGACACTCACAACTTTTGAATGAGCCCATAAAACCAACCTTTGAGTACAGAGTATATAGAAATCAGAAATGCTTCTATTTCAAGAGAGTTAGGCTTACAGTACTGTAGTGTTCATCCTACATGGTTCCTTTAAGTTCACAGAATCATAGAATCTCAGATTTGGAAGGGATCTCAGAGCACATCAGAGGACATCCCTATTATAAACAAGAATTCCCTCCTATAATATACCTGACAAGTGGTCATCCAGTCCATGCTTGAAGACCTTTAATAAGGAGGAGCCCATTAACTCCCTTGGACAGCTACAATCTCTAGGAAGTTTTTCCTCACTTAGAGCAGAAATCTATTTCTTTGCAACTTCCACTCACTTTTCCTAGTTCCCAAGTTATGGAGTTCCTCCCTTTGTCCCTCCCATCCTTCCCCCTCGATTTCTTCCCACTTGGGTCCGTGGTCCAGACTGGCAGATGGACTAGCCTAGGTTTAAAATTAGTTGAAGACTCTTTTCTCTGCCCCTCCTCTCCAGCCTGTCATTGTCTTTCTTTCTCTGTCTCTTATACAAAGACACAGACACACACACACAGACACACACACACCTAATAGGATTATAGATTTAGAATTGTAAAGCACCTTATAAATCATTTAGTCCAAACTCTCTCATTTTACCGATAAGGACTCTAACGTCTAAAAAGTGAGTGACTTGCACAAGATCCCTCTGGTACTAAGTGATAGATAATAGAACTCAAGTCCTGTGACTCCAAGTTCAGGGTTCTTTCTACCATACCATGATGGCTTCTCAAATCCCCACCTTTCCTCACCAGTCAGGTTTTCCTATGAGACTCTTCGCAGCAAGAGGAAGAGGGAAAAGAGAGAGGTCAGAATAGCCCAGCATACTCCCTCCAGCTCCACCCAGTGGGAATGTGGTAAAAGGGTCATTTCCCCTGTCATCTAATGAATATTACTAGGGCTTCCACAATCTTGAAGGTTAATAGTATACTGAACCATTTGCCTGGCATCTAGCATGTAGGTCTCTCTCTTACTTTTATCAAAGAGACTTTTCAAATTAGGTAGTCACCAGACTCAGGAAGTCTGAGGCTGACTTGTGAGACAATCCCTAGAAGAGTGTGTTTGGGACAGGCCTGGAGGAATGACAAAGAATTCATTCCTAATAGAGACACTACACTTCGGCTCCCCAGAATCTATAGGACTACATGACATATCTCTCTCTCTCTTTCTCTCTCTCTCTCTCAATCTATCTATCTCTATCTCTATCTCTCTCATCTTTTAAATGAGAAACTCTTAAATTTCAAATATTTCCATTTTGCAGTGCCACCTTTCTCCTGGAGACTTGTAGGCATTTGTGGAAAGGGAAGACTTCAATTACAGATCTAAAGTGACCTCAATTCCTTTTTAAAATTCCTCTAATATCCATGCTTATGTTCTGCTATCAACTAGCAGGGGCAAGGTAAACACCTCCACGTCTGACATTTAAAGCAAATATTTAAAGTCTTAGATGGCAGAACCAAGGTACAGAATGTTTAACAATCCTAATTAGGGAGAGGGAGGAAAAGTCAGGTAGGAACCCGCCCCTTTGCAAAGAGATTGGCTCCCTCTCCACCCCCGGGACTTACCTGGTGAGTCTTGGTTGGTCAGGCATAGAGAATTGTGTCATTAAAGTGTTGTCAAAATGAGCCCTGTAGGTGTGGGTTGTGCCACAGGAGTGTAGTTTCAGACTCCCAGAGGAAGAAGGCTTACTATTGGCTATGGGACCAGGCTCATGAAGGTATTTTTAATGCCTTGGAAAATGTCAACGTAGCAGGAGGCGCCAAGGGACTTAAATGTAAATCCTACACACCGAAGAAAATGACGAAAGTTCCTCAGGGGTTTGATTTCAGTTTCTTAAATGATGAAGAAGCCAGGCAGATCCTGCAGGTCTTGGAGAGAAACGAGGAGCTCCAGAGGGCAGAGAAGGACAGAATCAGGTACAGAGAGAATGGCTTTCTCTTCCTCTGTGATTAGACACAGTAGGGCACTAGCAAAAAGAACCCACAGGGTCTACACTGTACAGACACATCCCATTAGGGGTTCCCCTCCGTGAACTCTGGAAGAGCTAGGCTGGGCATGTGTTAAAGGAAGGAGGAAGCTGGCTGATCTGTCCTGGGACCGGGTTGCACCTGGCTACCTCTCAGACGAGCTGAGCTGACATGCTTTCCCATTGTGGGCCTGGGCACCTCTCAGCAGCCTTAGCTGCCTCTGCCCAGTGGGGCTGCTGCTGCTGCTGTAGCCACTGCCAGCAGAACTTGGCCTCTGGGGGGCTAAAGGAGGGTGGGGATGGAAAGCTGGTGAACAAGTCTGAACAAATGGCAGGTTCCTTGGGAAGACAAGTGGGGAGGATCTTGTGGGGTTGGGTACTTTTTAAAACTCTGGGCAGAATTGTTGGACGGAAGCCCTGGAAGGGCACCTGAGAGGTCATCTCCTCCAACTCTCTCATTTTACAGGTGAGGAAAAGTGAGGCCCAGAGAGGTTTAATGTCTTGCCCAAGGTCACACAACTAATTTAATAGCTGCTCTTATTTCCTCCTTTCCCTCTTGTTTTTTCTCTGAATCCCTGTGATAGAACAGCTAACATTTATATACACTGTGTAGTTTTGAAAGCTTTTTACATATGTTAGCTCATATGATCCTCCCAACAACCTTGTGAGGAGATACAAGTTTTATTATTCTCATTTTACAGATGAGGAAACAGAGGTTCACAGAAACTGACCTGTCCATAATCAAACAACTAATAACAATAATAAACAGGACTCAAACCCACATCATTTTTAACTATGATGCTTTAAAAAAAAAGTTATATTGATGTATTTTGCTTTTTACAGCAATACCCTTATTTGATGGACAACACTCCCTCTCCTTATAATAAAGAAAAACAGTGCAGCAAAATTAATCAATAGAGCATTTACATCATCCTGTCCTGATAGTATCCCACCTTTCTATTAAGAGGAAGGAACCAAATTCCTTGTTTGTCCTCTGGGACCAATATTGGTCAAAGCATTTAATCTGAATTTAATTACTTTTTAGTGTTGTGTTTATTTACTGTTATTATAGTTGTATATAGTATTCTCCTATCTCTGCTTTCTTTACTCTGCCTCAGTTTATACATATCTTCCCATTTTCCTCTTAATTCCTCACATTCATTGTTCCTTACAGTGCAATTACATTCCATTAATTCATATAACACATTTTTTTAGCAATCAATTTTGTTTCCAGAAAAGTACAGTTTATATGGGGGGATCTTTCTTTTTCTGTTTGACCGTGTTGGGATTTATGTCCAACAGAAGGGTCATTGGTTCAAAAGATACAAATAATTCAGTGTTTTTTCTTGTATAATTATGAATTATTTTCCAGGATGGTTGGACCAACTTCTAATTCTACCAAGAATATATTAGTGTGCCTATCTTCCTTCATTTCCTCCAACACTGACCATTTTAATCTTTTATAGTTTATCATTTTGCCAACTTGCTAAGCATAAGGTAAACACTGAGAATTGTAATTTGGATTTCTGTTATTAGTGATTTTAGCAGTTTTAAAAAATATGATGATTGCTGTTTTGTGTGTCTTCTTTTGAAAATTGTCCATATCCTTTGACCATTTGCCCAAAGACTCAGTCTTAAATGTATGTCAGCCACCTACATATCTTGGACATCAGACTTTTATCAGTGTATTTGATACAAAGATTATTTTCCTAAGCTTTTATCATCACCATTACTAATTTAATGCCAAGGTCAGAACTGACCTAGTTGAGTGGAAAGAGCGATAGATTATGAATCAAGAAACCTGAGTTTTAATACAAGACTTTGCCACTAACTAATCATGTGATCCTGGACAAGTCATGTCCTTTCTTCTGTGGGCCTCAGTCTCATCTGTACAAATGATCAACTAGAATAATGACTAAGATCCCTTCTTACTGATATAATGGGAGTCTCTATTCCCAGCCAGACCTCTATATCTTGAGATTTTCTCAAAGATAGCTGGAGATGTCTCTTCTCATTTAATCTATTCATCTTAAGATATCATCAGCTTGAAGAGACCACACGGAGGTTAAAACAGCTCTTGAGGGTTCTTAGCTTGTCACTATGTCAGGGTTACATATGAGCCTGGGAGGGAAAGTGTCTTTTCATTCAGTCTTTCTCATTCCTCAAATCATACACATAATTTTAACACATTTGCTCCAAAGCTACTGAGAAATGAACTCCCCCTCCTCTTTTTCATGTTCCTCTCATCCCTCTAACATACACACACACACACACACACACACACACACACATACACACACACACACGCACACACACACACACACTTGTGGCAGTCCCAGTACACCTGGCAATGAATGATACACTTCCTCCCTCTCAAAGACGGAGTCTCAAGAAATCTCAGTGACAAATAGAGCAGCCCAAGAAACACTCTTGAGATCTTAGGAGTGGGCAGGTGTTCGGCTGGACTTCACTAAGTCCTTGCTAATCTTGTCTGCTGGAAGCTCCTAGACAATTTCACCTTTGACAATTCTACACAAAGAAAGGTGCCTAAGTGATTAGTTACTAGTCAATGAAGGTCAGAAAGAGAATTTCCACCTTGGCCAGAAATAGTAAACTAACCAGTTTTTCTGCTGCGGAAGCCTTAGGTAAGCCTCAGCATGACTTTGACCTAAGCAAAAGTTTCTCTTGTTGGCAAAAGAGGGGAATTAAAAGTGTTATGCTCAGTGCCCTACTTGAAATGTAGAATTGGTTGGAACTGATCTTAGGATCATAGATTCAGAACTGGAAAGGACCTCAGAGGTCATTTTACTTTACAGATGAAGAAACTGAGGCCCAGAGAGGTTAGCCAATAGCTAGGGGCACAGTCAGGATTTGAACTGAGGTCTGTAGATACCGGAGCCAGCACTCATGGTACTAGAACACCCTGAGAGGAATTATTGCTGAACATCCATTTGGTAAAGTGACCTTTATGCTCCAAGTCTGCAGTCCCTTCTGGCACCACATAACTAATGCACCAGAACCTTTAGTAACTTTGGTTGCAGAGAGGCAGAGAATCCACTGGACATGGACTTCAATTTTTTTTTTTTTGCCCTAGACATAGACCTCAGAGTCAGGGTTGAATTACCTGGGGAAGTGGATTGTGTACCCCCATGCTCTGCTTCTATATTGATGGACTCTTCAAAAATGCCTGTCAGTTACTTAAATATATAACCCCATGGAGTTTGGTTCCCAGGGTCAGGATATTACATAACAGAAAGAACCCCAGAACTTTATATCATTAGAACTGAAAAGGAATCTTACAGATTATCTAATCCTCTTTTTTTATAGAGAGGAAACTGAGGCTCAGAAGGGTGAAATAATTTGCCTAAGGTTACATAGCTAGTTCATAGTTATCAAAATTGGGACTCAAATCCACCTCTCTCTCTCTCTCTCTCTCTCTCTCTCTCTCTCCCTCTCTCTCTCTCTTTCTCTCTCTCTCTCTCTCTCTCCCTTTCTCTCTCTCTCTCTCTCTTTCTCTCTCTCCTCTCTCCATTATATCATAGCTGTTTCACTGAGAAAGGATTCAGGAGACCTGCATTTTTGTTCTAACTTTGCCATTAACTAGTTATCTATAATTAAATTAGTTATTTGACCTCAGTGAGCCTCAGTTTCTTTATGTATAAAATGAGAGGATTGAGTTAAATGATCTTTAAGGTCCTTTCCAGTTCTACCAGTCCAGGATTCTAAGACCTTTGGATTGACTTGGCAAAGAAAATGGAAATGTGTTCACAGATGACATGGAAGGAATAGGATCAATTGGTCAGTCAACAAGCATTTATTAATCAGTTACTATGTGCTAGGCACTGTGCTAAGCACTGAGGATAGAGAAAGGTAAAAATTTAATCCCTTCCCTCAAAGAACTCACATGCTAGTGGGGGAAACAACATACAAAAAAATTGTATATACAAGATAAATACAGTGTAAATGAAAGAAATCTCTGAGAGAAGGCACTAGCAATAGAGAGACAGAGGACAGGGATAGAGAATGGAAAATGGGGAGGGTGTAGAACCAAGAAAAGCCTCCTACAGAATAAGGAATTTGAACTGAGTAAGGAAAGAAGCCGGGGAAATCAGAAAATGAAGGTGAGGAGGGAGGATATCATAGGCATAGGGGACACAAAAACTTAGTGTCAGGAGATGGAGTCTTGTATGTGGGACAACACAAGAAGTCCAGGGGCACTAGATAGTAGAGTCCATAGAGGCGAGTAAAGACTAATAAAGCCATATTATGTAGAAGAGGCCAGGTCATGAAGGGCTTTAAATGTCAGAGGAGTCTATATTTGATTCTGGAGCTAATAAGGACCCACTGGTTTTTATTGAGGAGGAGAGTAATAGGGCCAGAACCACACTTCAAGAAAATCACTTTGATAGCCTAATGGGACATGGATTAGAATGGAAAGAGACTTAAGGCAAGGATACCAACCAGAAGGCCATGGAACAGTCCATACATGAGTCAAGAAAAGCCTGCAATAGGGTGGTGGCAATGTGAGTGGAGAAAAGTATTCAAGAGATGCTGTAAAGAAAGAAATAGCAAGACACGGCAACAGATAGTATATGTGAGCTCAACACAGGTAGGTGAAAATTTGGGGTTGAAATCAAGGTTTCAAGGTTGGACGAGAGAAAGAAATGTTGGTATACTTGGTAATAAACACAAAATTGGGAAGAGGGAAAGATTTTGGAGAAAACATAATAAATTCAGTTTTGGATACATTGAGTTTAATACATGTTTACAGGACATACAATATAAGATATTCAAGAGGCAGTTGGTGATGTAAGACTGAAGAGCAGTTTCAGTTTGGGATCAGGAGGGAGATTGCAGAGGGTTGAGAAGACAGTGAGAGGAAAAGAAATAGAGACACCAAGTGTGAACAGCTTTCTCAAGGACTTTATCCATGGAGTGGAAGAGAGATAC